GTCCCAACACGTATACCGTCAGGAGAAAGAAGAAGAGGAAAACCAAAGAAAACATGGAAAGATGTCATCAAGAACGACATGAAACAGCGAGGACTCACTGGGGATCGAACCAACGACAAAGAATTGGAATGTGGAGGAGGTTGACTCGAACAGGGGACCCCTGCTAAAGGAAACATGCTAGGAAAGTGGAAAAGAAAATCAACATGAAAATTTGTTACTTATGATCTGTACACTAAGACAGATATGAATCTGTTGTTTCCCTATTGATGCTGCTGGTTCCTTTCGGGACAAAATGCATCGCTTTAAAACATACAATGGCACGGCGTCAAGCACAGTGGAGCAGGACGCAGCAGATGCACAATGGAAAAGTATCAGACCGTATTCTGTGGATGCTAAGCGCAGAAATGCTATGTTGGCTAGTTGTCAGAACTTTTTTTCCATAGCTAGACATTAATTACGGAGTACTGTAAGCGCGAACAACGCTCTGTTACCGTTTGAGCTTTAGGAACCCTCTCCAAGTTTGCAGCAATTGTCCTGGCGACCGAAGAGAGCAAGAAAAAACACTTCACTATGCCATGACCACCCAAAAACTCGAGGTTTTAACAAACTTGAAAAATTCTTTTGAAGCAAAGGTAGATGCTCAGGATTATGGTCAGAATAAAAATTTTATGACGGCCCTTTAAATGTCAGAGTGCTGTTATCTGCTGTTAAAACACTCTTTCCGACTGCATGCGACACACCGGGGGAATTAGCTGACAAATGCATGCAACAAATGAGGAAATTACGCGATGCACAAAGCTGCCAGTTACAATTGAAATTATACTTTCGAATATATACCCTCTGGCTAGAAAGATTGTTTAGGTGCCACGCCACTTAGTACCTCGTCGATTGCAAGGCAGATGCTCTTTCGGCAATCAACCCGGCTAAGTTACCTTGTAGGAGGTAAAAACAAAGTATGGATGGAGCTGATTATGAGACTGCAACTTTCAGACCAAAATCGGGGAACACCCTTGGTCTTGCGATAAACGATTTTGATGTCTAAACAGTTCGCAAAGCATAGGAGTAAAACTAGGTGGCTTCCGATGAATTAAATAAATGCTCCTCAGACTCTGTCAATATCTAACGCCTTGCCAAGAAACGAACACCATGTCTTCGGTTGCCCTCTTTTATCGAGTCATAATCATATTTCATTGCGTCCTCTTAGCCTTCGAATTACGTCCAGGCCAAGTAACTTCCCTCTCATAACCCAAAAACTGATCTCTCATAGTAGGCAGTTTAGGTGCAATATTTGCATGCATTCAGATTGAATCTCAGAGTATCTCAGATTGCATAATTCTGCTAAATCGATATTACTGCATGGCAGTTTATACTCTGTTCTTTGCCTGCCAGATCATAT